AGGAAGAGAGGAAGAGAGGAAGAGAGGAAGAAAGGAAGAGAGGAAGAGAGGAAGAGAGGAAGAGAGAGGAAGAGAGAGGAAGAGAGGAAGAGAGGAAGAGAGGAAGAGAGGAAGAGAGAGGAAGAGAGGAAGAGAGGAAGAGAGGAAGAGAGGAAGAGAAAGAAAAAGAGCAAGAGGAAGAGAGGAAGAGAGGAAGAGAGGAAGAAAGGAAGAGAGGAAGAGAGGAAGAGAGGAAGAGAAAGACGAAGAGAAAGACGAAGAGAAAGACGAAGAGAAAGACGAAGAGAAAGACGAAGAGAAAGACAAAGAGAAAGACAAAGAGAAAGACAACGAGAAAGACAAAGAGAAAGACAAAGAAGAGAAAGACAAAGAAGAGAAAGACAAAGAAGAGAAAGACAAAGAGAAAGACAAAGAGGAAGACAAAGAGAAAGACAAAGAGAAACACAAAGAGAAAGACAAAGAGGAAGACAAAGAGTAAGACAAAGAGGAAGACAAAGAGAAAGACAAAGAGGAAGACAAAGAGGAAGACAAAGAGGAGGACAAAGAGGAAGACAAAGAGAAAGACAAAGAGAAAGACAAAGAGAAAGACAAAGAGAAAGACAAAGAGGAAGACAAAGACAAAGACAAAGAGAAAGACAAAGAGAAAGACAAAGAGGAAGACAAAGAGAAAGACAAAGAGAAAGACAAAGAGGAAGACAAAGAGAAAGACAAAGAGGAAGACAAAGAGAAAGAGAAAGACAAAGAGAAAGACAAAGAGAAAGAGACAGGTTGATGAAAAAAAGGCTTGTTGTGGCGACAACCAAAAGCATGGGAGAGCGTTTGTTGAGCCACTTTGAAACGCCTTGAGAGAACCCGAGGGATCACATGTCGAAATGGAATTCCAAAGATCAATAACATGCCTTTTTTCAAATCTGCTGTATAGCCTTCTTGCTATATATATATGGCTATATATATATATATTTATTTATTTACTTATTTATTTATATTTGCAAATAGCACAACAAATTATATGAAAAATCAGGGTCGTAGTTTGGTAGTCCAAGGGTCGTAGTATGGTCGTAGTTTGGTCGTAGTTTGCTTTCCGAAAAAATTAACTATAGTTTAAAAAATAGTCTAATTCCTAAGAAATAGGTTAAAAAAATAAACTATTTTTAGTCTATTTTCGAAGGTTTATTTAAGATATGAAATTAACTTTTTTTTAAACTATAAGTCCAAAAAAATTAACTATTTCGATAAAAAAAATAATCTATTTTCTCTTCTTGAAATAATATATTTTAGAAAGATGAAAATAACCTAAATCCTAGGAAATAGTTTAAAACCTACGAACTAGACTATAGTTTATTTTTAAGCTAAAACAATCTATTGGGTAGTGAGATTTATAAAATAGAACCACCAAGATCATCTAACCCACCTATCAGCCAGGATAATTTACAGCAGGATGTGCATTCCTGTTGGATGATTTGTGTGCTATGGGAATGGACGATCCACGCCCCCATTAGGGTTTGTCTGATGAGGTGGCACCCTCCGGTGATCAAGGTGGCACTAAGATGTCCCAATAATAAATGGCTGGTTGGTGGTTTCAAACATGAACGTTTTCCAGAATGACATGTATTATATATTTATTATATAATATATATATTATCATATATATATTATGTGTGTATCTGTAACTATAGTTTATCTCCCATTATTAACCATCATTAAGCATATATCAACCATACTAACAGCTTTTTTGCCCGTATATTAGCTGATTGGTGGTTTGGAACATGAATGTGATTGTCCATAATAAATATGAATGGATAATCCTTCCCATTGACTTTCATATGTTTCAAGATGGTTATTGCACCACCAACCAGATGGAAGTTCTAGTAGGAAAAATATCTATAAATGCTTGATTTCCGAGTGCCACCTTTGATTACCGAAGGTTACCTTCAAATGGTCGCAGTGATTTGGCAAAATCATGACAAAGCCGCAGAAATTTTTCGGATTTTCGTTTATTTTCTGACAAGCCCATATGAAAGGTTGCATATGGCTCATTACCAAGCTAGACAGTTGACCTGGTTTATGCTGTAACTAACTTACCTATGGTGTATGGTAGATATATCTACTAGTTCCTTATCTGGTTGGTGGTTTGGAACATTTTTATTTTCCCATACATTAGGAATAATAATCCCAACTGACTAATATTTTTCAGAGGGGTGGCTCAACCACCAACCGGTTGAGATACAATGATGTCCTTTTCCCATTGGTTGGTTGATTAATAGAGGGGTTTCTTCAGAAACCCCTGAAAAACAACAGGTTTCTTTGATGGTAGATGGGATTACCCAGCTCCCGGCCCCTCTATTTTTACCAAAAGGACATTTTTGTATAGAATAGTGTGGCGGCTTTGTAAACCAACCTAGATATAACAACCAATGCGAATCCGAGGAACCTAAAATGGAGGTACGTAAATGTACCACATTTGAGGCCATAGTTTGTGGGGATATTGCATTGCATAGGCCCAGTTTTTAACCTTACATAAGAGTACCTTTGATTTACCGGGTTCATATTCCTTGAAACAACGAGGACTAATGTCCACCTCTGATTTATAAATAGGGGGGACCCCCCCCCTCTCTGACCCTAAATAGACTTAAAGCTACCATAAAACTTGTTTCTATGTAAAGGATTTAGTATTCCACAATTGAAAACGAATACATAAAATGCAATTTCAAAAAAAAAAGGAATCCAGCAATTGTTTTAGTATTGATCTAGTACTCATGTCATGGACTTAGTATTGATCTAGTACTCATGCCATGGATTTAGTATTGATCTAGTACTCATGTCATGGATTTAGTATTGATTTAGTATTCATGTCATGGATTTAGTATTGATCTAGTATTCATGTCATGGATTTAGTATTGATCTAGTACTCATGTCATGGATTTAGTATTGATTTAATATTCATGTCATGGATTTAGTATTGATCTAGTACTCATGTCATGGATTTAGTATTGATTTAATATTCATGTCATGGATTTAGTATTGATCTAGTACTCATGTCATGGATTTAGTATTGATCACGTATTCATGTCATGGATTTAGTATTGATCTCGTATTCATGTCATGGATTTAGTATTGATTTAGTATTCATGTCATGGATCTGGGCAAATCTGGGTTTAGGGCCAAAACAAATTAGCTTTATTCAGGGTCAAACTCTAATTAGTGCTAAGGCACCTCATGGGGGGTACCCTTGATGAGTTGATTTGGGATTGATTTTAAATAGGTTTATATAAAGGATTTGAATAGAAAGAACATTCATTATGTTTGAAATTTTGAAGCTATCAAGGTAAGATCTAATGAGCTGGCAGTATGAATTAGTACATGAAAGCCACGTCAAATAAAGCATGGAAAAAACAAAATCAGCCCCATCTGGGCAAATCTGGGTTTAGGGCCAAAAAAAATTAGCTTTATTCAGGGTCAAACTCTAATTGGTGCTAAGGCACCTCATGGGGGGTACCCTTGATGAGTTGATTTGGAGTTGATTTTGGATAAGTTTAAGTACAGGTTTTGAATAGAAAGAGCATCCATCATTTTTGACAATTTCCAGCTATCATTTTTGAATAAAGGTTTTGGTCAGCCCCATCTGGGCAAATCTGGGTTTAGGGCCAAAAAAATTTAGCACTATTCAGGGTAGTTTTATTATTTAGTTTGGGAGAAAATTTAGCACTATTCAGGGTAATTTGATAAATCGTAGGTCAACATTACCCCAAAGTTTGTCCACTTAGTTAGTTGCAAGATGGTGCCCCTCAAACGTGATGTTTTTCGTTTTTTTAACCCACGGGAACTGATTGGATATTTATTTTTATATATAATACATTTAAATATAATATATATATATATATATACATATGATATTTATATATATATATAATATTTATATATATATTATATATATTATATATATATCATATATATTATATATATTATATATTATATATATATATTATATATATTATATATATAATATATATAATATATATGATATATATGATATATATATAATATATTTTTTATAATATATAATATTGTCATATATATATATTTATACAATGTTTATATAGTACATAGCCAACGGTTATTGCTGGAGTGATGTAAGCACCAACTCAGCTAACGAGCTGAGGAAAACCTTGTCCCCAAAAAGCCCAATCAGATACTCGATAAAAACTCACCAACAAAAGGTTTGTTTAAGAGGGTTGCTGTTTTTTCATGTATTTTCTATGAGTTGGTGAAGTTATCAAAGGAAGTTGGGAAGCAATCTTCTGAGTTACGGATGACTTTTACTTGATGAAGGGTGGGTACTACTGGTAAACTGGTTGTTGGTTTCAAACATGAATTTCATTGTCCATTTCATATATGGGATAATCCTTCCCATTGACTTTCATATTTTTCAAGATGGTTAAAACCACCAACCAGTGTACTTCTTTTACTACTGGTATAGTTGATTTACCCATGAATAGCATGGTGGATCTTTCCATCGTTTTTTGTAACGTTTACCAGAGGGCAAATGAAATTGATAGCAGTTACATTGAGATAGTTAAAACCACCAACCAGTAAATTTATAAACTATAGTAGTTGATTTACCCATTTATAGTTGATTTACCCATTAAAAATTGTGATTTTCCATAGGTTTTTGTAACGTTTACCAGAGGGTATATGTCATATTGCTGATCATTATATCACATTGTATCACCAGTTCTATCCACACCATGGTTGATTTCCGACACTAACCTTATTTCAAACATGTTTTATTTTCCATAATATATGGGATAATCCTTCCATATATAGTATGTTATAATCCCATCATATAACCATACATAACCATTATTATTGGTATGAAATAACCACCAAGCAGTAAATTTATAAACATGTTTTGGCTCCAAATTCGGCGATCTCTGCGAGGCCTCCAGGCCGAACAAGCTCGCCGCGAGGCCGGCGGCGTCGCCGCTTCTGGCCCGGTGCGGATGACGGGCGTGCGGATGACGTCGGCGGGGAACGCCCAGCTGGGAAGTCATGGGAAATCATTGTGAGTTCAGGGGGATTTGGTCGGATTTTTTTCGGGATTTTTCAGGAAGAGACATGAAAAATGGTGATTTATTAGAAAAAAATCAGGAAAACATGAGATTTGTCAGATTTGAATATTTTTTAGCTGATTTATGATTAATCATGGTGATTGGAAAAATGGGATTTTGATGGAATGCTCATGGAAATTCAAGGTCTTTCCTGGGATTTAGTAATGATTGAATGGGACTTGATGATGATTTAATGGTGGTTCAATCAGATTTAATAATGATTTAATGGGATCTCTTGTATAATGGGATTTAATGGTGACGTACTGGACTTTAATGGTGATTCAATGGGATTTGATAGTGGTTCACTGGGATAGGAATTGAGGTGCTTTAGTCCCATTCATGAGGGATTTACATGAATGTCACTAGCTCAGATCTTTCTTGGGCATTTGGATTTCGGCACTGGTGCAGCAGGCGCTATCAATCGGGCGTGGTTTGATGAGCGCTTTCCAATTGGGCTTGCCATTGAGAAAACCCCAAGAAATTATAGTAATCCACTTATAAACCAGCTTAGCTGTCATAAGCCAACTATACAATTCATGTTGTGTTGGTTAAAATCCTGTGCTGAATTGTTGGCGGGCCAGTATGAACCAACTTTTGCTGATTCCACAGATGGAACAGATGGAGTTAATGGAGTAGTTCCATAAACCCAACGGTTATGAGTCAACAGTTATATCTCACTTATGGGTCAACATTTATATCTAGCATATGGGATAACTAATAAATGTCATAATTATGTCATACTCCATAAACTCTGGTTTTTATGGGTAAAATCACATTTTTTGATAAACCATCTATAAATGGGCTATTTTCCATGGCTGTGTTGAATAAACAGAGGGTATATCTACCATAAACTCAACACTTTCTGGAGTTATCTAGGCACCACCTACAAGGTGGTGCCCCCAGTCGATAGCGTTCAGTTGGTGCGTGAACAATACTCCAATTTCACGTGTTGGCAACTGCAACATTGTTGGTGGTATAATGTGATATATCTACAGTATTCATGGGTTTTAGAAACCAATAGACATTTCAATAAACATTGGTTCATAATTCCAATTTCTATAGGTGATATAGGTGATATATCTCTATAGTTAATGGGAATTATTAACCAATAAACATTTCATTTGGGGGGCACCACCTTGAAAAACCAGTGCCGAGGCGTCCGACTTGGTGCGAGATTCCATGGAAGTTCCCGTGCAGGTCGCGTGGAGCCGGAGCCGAGCCCGTGGAAACCAACGGATTTTATGGAATGTTTTTGGATAACCCATTCATAAATGGGGATATGGTGGGAATGTTAAGTTATTTGAAGAATATCACCAAGAATCTATCACCAAGGGTTTTTGATGGTGATTTTGAGGCTTTTTTCATTGGAAAAAACGGGAGTCATCGGGATTAGATGAAGATTTTGATGGTGATTATCCCAAGGTGGTGCCCCCCAATCCTTTAACTAAGTTGGTGCCTAACTCCAGTACCTGTTGGGTTTATGGTGTGTGTATATATATATATATCTGCACAAATTATAGCGAGGACAGCCGAGGCAACGAGGCAGGTTGCAGGAATTAGCGAGGTCAGCCCTTAATTTGCTCATCAGAATTAGCCGACCTCGACGACGTAGCCTTGCATTGGTTCTGTTGCATCCATTGGGCTTGGCTAGAAAAACTTTTTTGGGGGCCAGAGGCCGGTCAGCAGGCAACGAAGGAAAAAAACATTTTCAGGCCCCAAAAAGTTTTATTTTCTATCGCCAGAGGCCGGTCAGCAGGCAAGGAAGGAAAAAAAGCTTTTCAGGCGCCAAAAAGTTTTATTTTCTATCGCCAGAGGCCGGTCAGCAGGCAAGGAAGGAAAAACAACTTTTCAGGCCCCAAAAAGTTTTATTTTCTATCGCCAGAGGCCGGTCAGCAGGCAAGGAAGGAAAGAAAAACTTTTCAGGCCCCAAAAAGTCTTATTTTCTATCGCTAGAGGCCGGTCAGCAGGCAAGGAAGGAAAAAAAACTTTTCAGGCCCCAAAAAGTTTTATTTTCTATCGCCAGAGGCCGGTCAGCAGGCAAGGAAGGAAAAAAAACTTTTCAGCTTCCCAAAAGTTTTATTTTCTATCGCCAGAGGCCGGTCAGCAGGCAAGGAAGGAAAAAAACTTTACAGGCCCCAAAAAGTTTATTTTCTATCGCCAGAGGCCGGTCAGCAGGCAAGGAAGGAAAAAAAACTTTTCAGGCCCCAAAAAGTTTTATTTTCTATCGCCAGAGGCCGGTCAGCAGGCAAGGAAGGAAAAACAACTTTTCAGGCCCCAAAAAGTTTTATTTTCTATCGCCAGAGGCCGGTCAGCAGGCAAGGAAGGAAAAAAAACTTTTCAGGCCCCAAAAAGTTTTATTTTCTATCGCCAGAGGCCGGTCAGCAGGCAAGGAAGGAAAAAAAACTTTTCAGGCCCCCAAAAAGTTTTAGTATCTATCGCTAGAGGCCGGTCAGCAGGCAAGGAAGGAAAAATAACTTTTCAGGCCCCAAAAAGTTTTATTTTCTATCACCAGAGGCCGGTCAGCAGGCAAGGAAGGAAAAAAAAACTTTTCAGGCCCCAAAAAGTTTTATTTTCTATCGCCAGAGGCCGGTCAGCAGGCAAGGAAGGAAAAGAAAACTTTTCAGGCCCCAAAAAGTTTTATTTTCTATCGCCAGAGGCCGGTCAGCAGGCAAGGAAGGAAAAACAACTTTTCAGGCCCCAAAAAGTTTTATTTTCTATCGCCAGAGGCCGGTCAGCAGGCAAGGAAGGAAAAACAACTTTTCAGGCCCCCCCAAAAAATATTTTCTATCGCTAGAGGCCGGTCAGCAGGCAAGGAAGGAAAAAAAACTTTTCAGGCCCCAAAAAGTTTTATTTTCTATCGCCAGAGGCCGGTCAACAGGCAAGGAAGGAAAAAAAACTTTTCAGGCCCCAAAAAGTTTTATTTTCTATCGCTAGAGGCCGGTCAGCAGGCAAGGAAGGGAAAAAAACTTTTGAGGCCCCAAAAAGTTTTATTTTCTATCGCTAGAGGCCGGTCAGCAGGCAAGGAAGGAAAAACAACTTTTCAGGCCCCCAAAAAGTTTTATTTTCTATCGCCAGAGGCCGGTCAGCAGGCAAGGAAGGAAAAAAAAAACTTTTCAGGCCCCAAAAAGTTTTATTTTCTATCGCCAGATGCCGGTCAGCAGGCAAGGAAGGAAAAAAAACTTTTCAGGGCCCAAAAAGTTTTATTTTCTATCGCCAGAGGCCAGTCAGCAGGCAAGGAAGGAAGAAAAAACTTTTCAGGTTTCTATCGCCAGAGGCCAGTCAGCAGGCAAGGAAGGAAAAGAAAACTTTTCAGGCCCCAAAAAGTTTTATTTTCTATCGCCAGAGGCCGGTCAGCAGGCAAGGAAGGAAAAAAAACTTTTCAGGCCCCAAAAAGTTTTATTTTCTATCGCCAGAGGCCCGCTTCGTGGGTTGACAGCTGCAGAAGCAGTAGCATTCAGAGTTGCTCCAGAAGAGCATTGCATCTCTGCGATAATGTCAGAGATGTCACCACCCAAGCGCAAGAAGCGCAAAGACCGATCAGACTCAGATTTAAAAATCCTTGCAAGAGACCGTGGATCGTGGAAAAAAACTTTTCGGAAGCTGAAAAGTTTTTTTTCCTTGGGGTTGGACCCTGGAAAGAAGGCCCACAAGCTACTTTCTTCCTTCGAATTAACGAGGTAAAGCCTTAATTTGCACCTGCAAATTAACGAACGAGGACAGTAATCATGGGGAACAAATTAAGACACGAGGGAGACGAGGTAAGAATTAAAGTAATTTGGCCAGATATATATCGAACTAATTCGTTGGGGTTATCAACAAACATCACAACCAGGTCATGGGGATTTGAAAAAATGAAGAAACATGGTGAAATGACCGACAAACAAGTTGGGATACCGGGCATTACGGGGCCCTTCTAAGAAAAATCATACCCATAGGATCCATGTATGGTATATATGCTAACATTTGGGGTATATTGATGTTAAATGTTACCATATATAGCATACATGGACCCTATGGGATAGCCACTTACAAGTGGAACTGCACCCCCAAGTATCTGGTAAGACACCATGGTTTCTTGCACATGTTATTTGAAACCAACGCCATAAGTGAGTTGTTGGTTTCATGACAAATTGATGTTTGCTGGTTTTTTAAGCGCATTTTTCTGGTTTGGAACGGTTGACACCGCAGAAAAACTGACTTTGCCACCACTGGACACGGTTTGGATCCACACTGGGCTAGAATTCGCATGTCTGGCTGAGAAAATCCCTATACATCGGCATTGATGGCTGGGAAGATCATCAGTTGCTAAACGGACACATATTTTAGTGGTCAATATCCCATACATTGTGGTTGAAGTCAGCGTTTCGGTACTGAACATCATAATGTTTTGGTAGTTCAAATTCCAATGTCGCGTGAGAAATATATTTTTTTCTTCAAATCCGCACCTTGGCTCCTAACACACTCAGTGCTGCCATTTACATGGTAGCACCGATGAACTTAATGTCTTACTTTTGGGCGTGTGAAATGTTCGCTTCTGAAATCACCATGAAAATGCTTCTCAAATCATTCACCCGCCATTTTGCGTTCTTACATCACCGATTTGTCATCTTAAATCAGCTACATGTATTCTGAAAAATCACCACTTTGGCTCGTTTGGTTTCTCTGGTTAAATCAGCAGTTTGACAGGTGATTGGTGCCATCATCGGTACCAAAGGGGCCGCCATCAAACAGATGTCCCTGGAGCTGCTTGGCGCCAGAAATCAGAAGATGCCATGAACTGCTGGTTTTACAATGAGTTGGGGTTAATGCCGGGATAGTGGGCTTGATGACTAAGAATGGGATATCAATGGGTTTTAATCTTCATGACTACTGGCATTGATGGGATTAAAACCCATCGATTTTGAATAGTTACTTCATGACTTCTACTGGCTAGTGAAAGTAGGGATTTTTTGGGATATCATGGGGATGTCAGTGGATATTACTAGGATATGTTTGAATATTAATGAGGATATATTGAGATATTAATCAATGGAACTGGATATAACGGGATATCCACTAGTGAAATTGGTTTAATACTGTGAGAGTGGGCTCAATGACCAAAAATTGGCTTCATAATGGATTAATAGTTATAGGGATGATTAGGGTGATAGGATCGATTGGGGAGAATTATCGCAGTATTTCAATACATCTATCCTAAACCAAATAACTAGATCTAGTGAAATACATCTATCCTAAACCAATGTTCACATCAACTAGAAACCAATCTTGGGCACCACATCGCAGGAATTGGAAATGGGGAACGCCTAATCCTCGTTGATGGACCAACCTTGCCGTTTAAGCGCCGCCGAAAAGCGCGTGGTGTATCCTCATGTGCCGCATTAAGAACCATGTTTTTGGCGTGGCCTGAAGCCTATTTCAGGACAAACCCATGTACAATATATCAGCGGTTCAGCTGGTGATCATGTCCTGTATGGGTTAGTTTAGCATGTTCGATGTCAAAATTTCTTGATGATTGGGGTGCGCATCCCAGTAAAGATGGTTAGTCGGTGGTTGGGTGACAATACAACACAGCATCACAACCAGGTGGATTCACGAACAAAAATTGGAATATAGGAATATCATCAACCAGAACGAGCTTAGCAAGTGTTTGCAAACCACATCTGGCCAAACCATCACATTTATCTTGTATTATAGGGTTATATAACTAGTTAACCAATAATAGCGGATAGCAATCGATCAATTACAAGCTGCCATTTAACGCTCATGCAAGGGGTTTCAAATATGATGAATAAGGGGCCAGTCAGAGGAGATTTCCAAGCGGATGACCAAAGGATCCGCTTAAAAAATAACCAAAGAAACACGTGGAACACCAGGACTCTGATGGACCAAACACTTGCAGAATTACCCTCTGGTTATTTGTTACATAGCCATGGTATAGATGGCCCATAGAAATAGATGGTTTACCGTTCTTAATTTCATGGTGGATCTTTCCATGGCTATGTTAAATTACCAGAGGGTAATTTCTCATTTTTTGTAGAAAATCTGAGAGTGGAACAAAAACTGAGAAATCTTCAGTGAATACCTGAAGTCAATCTAGTTTTGTTTGGGAGTTGAATCCAATCCAGCCTTTTACAATGATCCAGATTAATTATGTTTCGTGGAAGTTAGGAATTGCAGGCTTCATGGGATGTTGAGACACAGCTGCTTTCCATAAATTTGCACCCTAGTAAAGATTGGAACACAATAAATTCCACAAATTTCCAAGTTGGTGAAACAGACACCTCAAACAGACTTTCTACTTGGATGGCGAAAACCCTCGCCCATCGATTCAGTGGTGGTTTGGTTTATTGGTTGATGGGTGGTTCTTGGGATATTTTTCACCAACTTGAGGCACATTTCAGATGACTGTTTTATTCATGAGCATTTTTTGCGGGTCAAAGCCCTTATGTCCTGACTAGCAGCCTTAATGCTTGCTGCGAAATCTTCACCGTTGTCGCTTAAAACCTTAAGTTCTGTTGGATAATTCTCCCATTGTCTTGTTTCGGCCCAATTTCTTCGACAGCATCGGAGGGAGCACCGGGGTCCCCACCGATGCGGCCTCGGGAATGACCACTGAGACAACGAGCAAAACATCGAAAAGCAAGCCCAACAGCAGAAGGGGGAAGAAGCGGCAGGCCGATCAAGCCATCAGGGCCATGATCAAACAGGGAAAACTCACCAAAGAAGCCGCTGCCCGTCTGACCACAGAAGATAAAGTGCGTATGTTGGATGAGTGGCAGGCCTACCGCAAGTCAATGTCAGAGCTCAGCGCAGAGAAGCTGCTCGGTCACCAGGAGATGAAGGCAGACTTCCCAGAAACGCACTCCTTGCTGGAGAGGGCATTGGTGCAGCCAGAGGGTACTTGATACTTCCAGTTTCCGTCACTTTTTTATGTTGAAACCAGTTGATTCCCCCAACGGTTCGTGGCTGTCTCTCAGGTCGGGCGCCAAGATGAACTTCGAACAGGAGGAGTATCAGCCAGGCTGGAACCAACGGAACAGTCACAAAAAAGTGGTCAAACAAACCGCTATTAAAATGGTTAATTTGACAGATTGGTCACGAAAATATTAGGGGTTAAAAGGAGAGCTGGCCGCTGTGGGAGTGCACTTTTTTCCATGCAGTCATTACATTAATCATTAAATTAGTCATTATATAAGTCATTAAATGAATCATTATATTTATCATTATATGAATCATTATATGAATCATTAAATGAATCATTAAATGAATCATCATTATATCAGTCATTATCTACTTCATTAAATTAGTCATTTTATTAATCATTATATTAGTCATTAAATTAATCATTATATTAATCATCATATTAATCAATAAATGAATAATTATATCAGCAATTACATAAATCATTTTATTAATCCGTATATTAGTCATTATAAACGTCATTAAATGAATCATGAAATGAATCATTATATTTGTCATTATATGAATCAATAAATGCATTATTTTAGTCATTGTATCAGTCATTATTTTAATCATCACATTAATCATTATATGAATCATGTTAATAACCATGATATCAGACATTATATTAATCATTTTGTTAATCATTATACTAGTCATTATATTAATTTTTAAATTCAGAATTATATCAGTCATTACATTAATCATTTTATTGATCATTAGATTAGTCACTATATGAATCATGATGTTAATCATTTTATTAATCAGTATATTCATCATTATGTTAATCATTTTACTAATCATTATTATATTCATTATATTAGCCATTTTATTTATCATTATATTAGTCATTAAATTAATCATTTTATTAATCATTATGTTAATCATTTTATTAATCATTACATTGCTCATTATATATAAATTCATTAAATTAGTCATTATTTTACTCATGGTATTAATCAATGTATTCATCATCATATTAATCATTTTTTAATCATTATATTAATCATTATATAAAAATAATCATGATATTAGTCATTTTGAAAATCATTAAATGAATCATGAAACGAATCGTTATATTTATCATTAAATGAATCAGTATATTCATCATTATATTTATCATCCTATGAATCATGATATTAATCATTATGTTAGTCAATAAATGAATAATTATATCAGCAATTACATAAATCATTTTATTAATCCGTATATTAGTCATTATAAACGTCATTAAATGAATCATGAAATGAATCATTATATTTGTCATTATATGGATCATTTTATGAATCATTAAATGAATTGTTTTAGTCATTGTATTAGTCATTTTATTAATCATTACATTAATCATTATATGAATCATGATAATAATCATGATATTAATCATTTATTCTTCATGATAATAATCATTAAATTAATCATTATATTAATCATTATTTTAATCATGATATTGATCATTTTATTCATTATTGTATTAACCATTATATTAATCATTTTATTAGTCATTATATTCATGAATAGATATGCCATTACATTAATCATTATATTATTCATTATATTAGTCATTATATAAGTCATTAAATGAATTTTGGTTTTTCCATGGTTTTTTTTTGCAGTTTGGCCTGGGGGGTGCAGGTGTGCAAATTGTAGAGACGCGCATTTTTTTGAGAGGTACTGTGATGAAAGCATCTTCACATGAAAAACATGCAAAACAACAATGGAAAAAACAAAAAAAAACAAAAAAAACAAAAAGTTCAGACCCATGGGCAAGGTCTGGGAGAGGCCTGGCAGGCGACATGGGTCTGAACTTTTTGTTTTTTTTCCATGTTTTTTTCGCAGTTTGGCCAAAACCTCGAGAAAACCAAAAAAAAACAAAAAGTTCAGACCCATGGGCAAGGCCTGGGCTATCCACACACAAACCAAAAAACCAAAAAACCAAGAAACCAAAAAAACAAAAAAGCAAAAAAAACAAGATTGCACACCCCAAGGGGAGGGGGTCAGATGCAGAGTGTTGGGTCTTGTCTTTTTGTTTTTTTTTGGTTTTTTTAGTTGTTTTGTTTTTTTGTTTTTTTGTTTTTTTTGTTTTTTGTTTTTTTGGTTTTTTGTTTTTTGGTTTGTGTGTGGATAGCCATTGCAGATGTGCCAAGCAGAGATTGCCAGGCACTGTCAGTGGTTGCACTAGAAGCAAGGTCGATACACTACAGTACAGCAATGTTTGCTATGACATAGTGCATTCAGCCAATGAACAGCAGAGAGGAATGGAATTCAATTTTGTCCGGTTGCGCCATATGCTGTTGGATCTTTGCACAGGAAATGCCGCGATTTGCGCACTCCCCTGGTGGCCTGTTCTGTTAAAATAGGGATTTGTTAATGTTCCACAATTTGTTGCTGGCCAAACAATTCCCTATTTTGGTCATAGATGGGTTTGTCTTAAAATAGAGGATACCAATAGTTATTTTGTTTTGGGAAACTGCGAAAATCATCCATTGAAATTGGGAGTATACCCGACTTTCAGACAATTCCAAATGTCCTTTTCCCGATGTTGATTAACAGAGGGGTTCCCCCATTCAAACAACCAATAGGTAAATGAATGTAAATGATAATCAATGGTGTACCAAACCGGCCCCTCTATTTTGGGCATCAATCTCATGTCATTAAACAAAGAAGATCTTAATCATTGGGAATTCTTAGGTTACTGGTTATTAATAGGTTGGGAATGTTATCAGAATTATTTTCACTGGTGATTAAAACAAAACATATGGAATTCTTTGGCTGCTGATAGGCTACAATACGAATTAGGCACATGTTTATTTTTTTATATAATATCAATTTGGCAAGAAGGCTGTTGAGAAGATGATGACATGTTCAATCTTGTTTTGATTTTTCATCAGAATTATGAGTGAATAATTGTTGGTCGTTGTGTGGGATGACTGTGCTGTAACTTTGCTTTGCTGGTATTTGTGGTGCTTGGAACTAGCTCATCTTAAATATTAAACGATTGAAATCCTTGTCAAGCAAGTAGCACTAGAGCAAACTCAACATCAGTTCCCTAGGAGTTCAAACCCGATCTCTGCCCCAGGCTGAAGGGTAGTTTAATCCTCCATTGTGCCAACTTGATGGGAGCTTGATGGCGGACTTTTTCGTTGTGGTGGCCAGCGAAAAACTGCAGAAGCTTTTTCAGAGCTACATGACAACTATAGTGAGTCAATCAATCATGTGAAAGGCTCATACTGAGAACGCTTCCGAGTTCAGATCTGAGTGATGGACAGTTGTCCATCTGAACAGATTCCAAATCATCAAGGTCAAGCCATTCACTAAGTGGGACCCGCACGCCCAAGTATTGTCCCGCTGGCAGTTAGGCAGAAGCCCAGTTTTTTGAGCTGGTAAAAATGGACCCATCTAACGATGGTGAAGCAACCTAGGTAATTGGGTTTAGTAATAACCCATAGTTGGATAGCCCAGGTAGTTACAGTTTTTTAATTCAGGTAATCATAAACCAACAAAAAATCAAGAATAGGGAGTACCACTTTGTATCAACCAGTGTTGTGAAAAGAATTACAACCATGGCACCCCAACTTTGACGAACCCACCGCCTCACAACAAGATGGAAGCGAATTGAAACATAGCAGGGTTGCGAACAAAACACCCCAGATACAAGAAAAAACGTGGTATGTATGCAAAAAATGATGTTTAATTACTTTCCCTGCTGGTGGATCAAATAATTACCTATACATAGAATTACACTCAAGTTTCCTAAGTCAGGTACCCTCAAATCATCCAAAACCAAATTGAAAACCATGGTGACTTGGGGATTCCCCATTTGAAGAAACCCTGTATATATCATGAATTTCCTTTGTTAGCTGAGAGACACGTGCTTCATATTGTCCGTTACACATCACACTATATCTACCATAGATTACGGTGACATTCCATGATTTTCACGGCTAAAATCGGTGAACTCCTCATGGGGAACCCTTACTGTTTGTTGGCGGTTGGATTCCTTGGTGCCGTCGTTGGAAAACCAAGAAAGAATGGGAAAGTTTATTGTGGTTTTCCCATGTTTTATTGTGGTTTTATTGTGGTTTTATTGTGGTTTTCCTGTGTTTTATTGTTTTCCCAAAACAAATAAAGAATGGTGGAAAATAATTTTATTGTGGTATGTTGGCAACAAAGGATTTCCCATGTTGGTTTATTCCCCATTCTGAAAAATGGTGGTTGGCAATAAATACCCAGGTGCCGTCATATACCCTTTGGTAATTTGACAGATGCATGGGCCATCTACATCATAGCAAACTGTTGAATTACCAGTCAATTAGTAATAAATAGTAATAATACATCCCAGCATGTCCAGTTGATATTCCCATCATAACCCCACTATATCTGCATTTTATCAGTCAAATCACCATTACATGGGAGTTTCTTTAGAATGATCCTCAAGTCGCCTTGTTGCTTTCAAGACCATGGTCATCAACCCCATGACTTAGGAAACCTCCAAATCACCATATGGTCGCCACATCCCAGGCTACTTGCCTCTGAACCGCTGTTGCTTGATCAGCGGTGATGCAGAGCAGGTGGCTAAGGCGCAGGTTTTCTCGTCGCAGCAGTGCGGGGCGGGCGGCTTTGGGAGTTATCAAAGAGGGGCATGCTTCTTTAAAGGAGTAAAAGTGGTCAACAAATCAACAAAAATGTTGGTATGCTGTAAAGAAAAAGAGTTGGTAATGCTTCAGCCACTAAAAAATGGAGTGAGACTTGACAAGAAGAGCGTTTTTTCAAAAGAGCCGGGCTTCAACCAGAATTGGGACAAACCATTGAACATAGAGTTTTACCGCGGATTGTGGGAGTGAGGAAATTGCTTTTGTTTTGATCTGACCCGAAGAAAGCGGAGTATGACAGACGTGGCGGAATTCATTGCTGGCAGGCTGAGGATATGACCTCTCAAAATTGATTTCCTCATTTACTTCAGCGCAGTCCACAGGGTGGTGCATACATGTCTTGGCCATGATCCCGGTGTCCCAACCAATAATGTATTTTCCTGGAGAAAAATGTATCAAAGTATGGAAGGAAACAGGTTTTGAATGTATCCCTGTTAGTTTACCCCAAGTTGCAACCGGGTTGCTACTGGGTGATCCCACACGGATGCGAACCAATGCCAAAGACCCGGTGCCCTGGGTGCCCTGGGCTCCAGCAAGCAGATGCCGATGTCGTCATGTCTCCAACAGGGATCTAATAGGTGATGAGTACTAAACCCACATTGGAGAAAGAGCAAGTTCAAGCAAGCTAAAATTGCGGACCGATTCCCAAGGAGATAATAGATGCATAGACTTTGATAGATGAATCAGCAGCTCTATGACAGTTTTTTGCCCTCGCATTTTCAGACTGCAAGTGTCCTCCAGACCTGCGCCTGATTTTTGCCATGGTGCGGCCATCTTTCAGGAAGACATGTCACTTCCCTTTGGTGAGCTGCCTGGCAGCCGCTGCCATGATCTACGGCTCAGGCGTGTCGTTCACGCCGCCCATTGCCCCTCTCGCAGGGTGGAGCTGTCGGCAGGTGTCACTGCCACAACGGAGTCGAATGAGTCGAATGAAGGCGTTTTTGAAGTACGTGGCCTTTGGTGTCGTGGATTTAATGTGAATCTTTTTTTTGAAGGTCACTCATGGTCGCTCCCCTTGTTTGACTAGTGCATACTGATTGTCAAGGTCTTATGATCAATAGTAAGTCTTAGGTGGGAGATTTGCTGATATGGAAGTACAGGTAGGCGTGTTTGCTTGCTTGTTGATATCTTGTTGATAATTTTCAGGTTACATATTGTTTTTCTTTCATGCTGGTTTTGAATGATTTTCAAATTATCAAACTTGACTGACAGTGTGTCGGATGAGTTCAAGCCACAAGGTGTGAATTCTACGGAATATTACGTTCAGTCGGAGTGGGGCCAGCACTGGACATATTCAAAATCATGCGATGTTCTTTCTACGCGTAAGGATGGAGGTAATTCAACCAGAGCACTCTCTATGGGCTTTGGCCCGTACCATCAATATTACTATGAGTTTGACAACTGGAAATATTGGAAGATTGGTGACCCAGACATCAGCAAGATTGTGAAGGAGAACGCCATGAAGTTCGTGAGTTTTGGCCCGAAGGGCGCAGTCATTGTTGTGCTCAAGAGTGGGGCATACTATTTCCGTGGCTGGGCCTGAGCCTTTAGTGCTTTTAGTGTATACGGATGGCTTGGGGTTCAGAAGGTAGGTTAGACCTCAGAAGGGGCCATAAGATCGGGAGTTCCAGTAATTCACCACGGATCAGCATTTGATCTCAGGCAATCTTCCGACCGAATTGCAAGATTGCATCACCGGACGGGCACGAAGTGGCAACGAGGACCGCATTGTGTTTCTCGAGGTAAGCATCAGTGGTCTGAAAAAATTAGGAGCTTGAACCCCTTGGTTTCTTTCATGGCTGTGTTTTTTCTTTCGCCGCCCTAGCCATTGGATATGTAACATATCACCAATGAGGGGTTGTTTATTCAGCATCGTTCATCCATTTGTATAAAGTTGTAATTACAGGTTAATGTGTGCCGCATTCAACAGGTTTTCACGCGAGAACTGTATAGCTGATGGCCGGATTATGATTGGAAGTTGTGAGTCCCGGGGCATACCCCGAACCCTTTTTTCACGCAAACCCAGATTCTTCCAGGATCACAACCGAATTGCCTCAGTGTCTCTGGGAAACAATGATGCCTACTTTGTCACCTTCGAAGACGGATGTTGGCAGTACAGCGGCATCCCGTCCTCCATGCACAAGTACATACAGGAACAAGAGATTAAAAAGAACTATCGCAACGAGACATTCGAGCAGATTGCCTTTTCCCAAGATTTGGAGGAATGGTACTTGAGAACGAACAAGAGGTGGTGGTACCAGTCCAGGAAACTTCGCAGTTTGGAAGACACGTACAAAAAGTGAGGACAAAATGGATTAAATGCCAAGCGTTACCAAGCTTCCCTTAGTTTGCGATCTGAGCGCGGGCTGACCTGAGGCTTGCGGAGATCAAATCATTCCAGCTACGGTGCTGTTAAAACCCCCTTGGGACCAGCAGTGACCATTTGAGCCATGAAAAATACCCTTGTTGATCGGGAAATAAACGGGCTTAATCATACCTGGTGTGCTGTGGATGATTGATTATTACTTTTAATAGGGAAGTAAGTAACCAACAATTTTTACTTGGATGGGGGAGTGATATTTTTCATGGCTCACTTGTGCACAGCACCTGTGGTGACAGAGTGCTCCCATGGCAGCACCCGTTGCTACAAGAGTGCCTGGTGCCAGTGGAGCTCCATCGCAGCAGATGTATTTCCCATTTATGGCATCTTTGAACCGACATGTTGGAAAATATGAAAAAGTGATGTCTGAAACCGTGGTGCGTTTTGTTACCCAGTTTGTTGGCGATCCAACTAGGAAACTAGCGCAATGTGTCTAAAGCGGAGCACCTTTTTGGATCCACAAGTGGATGGTCCAGTGGATGGTCGTTTTTGGATCATGCAAATTTGGGGAGTTGAAAAATTGATAAAGTTTGGGTCCATGCCCAACAAGGCGTGTACCTTGCAAAGACTTGCAATTCTTCCCAGGAATTATGTTCGTTGATTGGATTTGACATACGTCATCCAACGATATTCAGGAATGTTTGGCGACATGGATGGTGTCTGAGCTGTCGTCAGCAAATTTTGCTTCATGCTGAAAGAACATGCAAACGGAGAACTCAAAAAGTTTGTGATGCTGGGGCATGTGTTGCTTACAACAACGTTCCCGAAACTGTCAGACCGCAGTTGTATCGCACCAATTCGCACCCTGGTTAGGCGGGAAAGCCCTATCTTCACTGTTGAAGGAAAAGGGTGCAAGCGTCTTATCAGGGATTTTGAGGGAAGAAGTCTGGTTCCTTTTGTCAAAGGGGTTGACCTACCACAGTTCAGCGCTTGGGCGATCTATCCCCTTGCGTCATTGAGCGTCATGGGAGGACTGTTTTGGTTGGACGTATCCCTTTACCTTGAGAACCTGATCATGTTATCACCCATCTACCGGCAACAATTTGTTGGTTGGTTAGTAACGGTTAGTGGGTTTTTGGTATGTGTTTAGAGCCACAACATATATATATATAATTATATATTATGGTCACAATATCCTTTAGCAAAATAATAATATATAAATAACATATATATATATTATTAATCTCCTAACCAACATTATATGTTAGAGCCACAATATATGGTTACATAATATCTTTTAGAGCTGGCTAGGAGATTATTAATAGCTATTTGGGGTAAACATGTTGACACCACTAATAACATCCTTCCTATAGATAACTTTTACAGTAGCTTGTAGCAGACCGGTATCAATCGTATCAATATATATATACATATAATATACATAGAATATGCATAGAATATACATATATATATATATGTGACCCAGGACGCCCAAGCCCCCCCCCCCCTGTGGTCTGGGATGGTGGTATGGTTCTTCTGTACAGGCCCCCTGTGGCCTGTGGTGGTGGTATGGTTCTTCTGGTCCCCCCCCCCCTGTGGCCTGTGTCGGTAGTATGTTGGTATGTTGCTATGTTGGTATGTTGGTATGTATGTTGGCATGTATGTTGGTATGTATGTTGGTATGTATGTAATGTAATGTAATGTAATGTAATGTAATGTAATGTAATGTAATGTAATGTAATGTAATGTAATGTAATGTAATGTATGTAGGTATGCATGGATGTATGTATGTATGTAGGTATGTAGGTATGTAGGTATGTAGGTATGTAGGTAGGTAGGTAGGTAGATAGGTATGTATGTGTGTGTATGTATGTATGTATGTATGTATGGTCCCGTATCCCGTGTTCCCGAGAGCGTGAGCTTGGGGGACCATACCATTGGGGGGCCAGGGATCCGGAGTCCGGACTCATATATATATATATATGTATATTTTACATATGTATATATATATATATATATACTAACTCATACACTATGAGCGTTACCAATTACTGCATCGCTATGTTTGATTTTTTTGTATATACATATATATATATATTTACAGATTTATAGACACAGTATACATATTAGTACTAGCTTAAGTTGGTGGTACCAATCCCCACCACGGCATCACCATGCCCACTGCCATGACACCAGGCCAAAGCGCTCCTACAGGAGGCTGTCACAGCTGCCATGGCTGAGCAGGCGATGGGGAGCCAACCAAAAAAGGGGTGAAGGGGCAAGAGAATTTGTGATTGAATAGGTGTCTACCCTGTGGTAAATTTGTAAACTAACATAGCTATGGAAAATGGCACATTTTTAGATGGTTTACCTTTTTAAAAATGGTGATTTTCTACAGCTATGTTAGTTTACCAGAGGGTAAATGGTTGCATCGGATTTTTCAAAGGGGCTTTCATGGGAATTGATGTGATGCTAGCTGGATTTTATCAGACCTCATCGGATTTATGGGATTTGAAGTGATGCTACTGGGTTTTTTTCTCGGATTCAATGGATTTGATGGATTTGAACCTGAAAAAAAAAGATTTATTTGGTCAATCACCCTGCTGTGTAAGTTCAATGGATCGGGCCAGACATTTGTATAAGAAAGTAGTTTCCCAAATGTGCCATTTAATTTATGAATTGGGATGATCATTCCAGCATGGATTGTGCTGATCTTTGATGTTTTAAAAAACATGATCCTAAAACTTACTAACATCGTTTCCAGGATTGCTCCTGAAACATCAGTTGCTGAGAGTGTCTCAAAGCAAAAAAAAGTTGGATCTCAAGTCACTTGGCCCTCCAGGATGGGTTCTCTTGCAATAAATCATAAAAGGTTTGAGTCAGAATGATCTATTTATTGATAAACGGCAATTTACTGATATTTGCCATAAATAATAAACCTTTTACAGTTCATTTTATTGATCTAAATCATAAAACAATAGAGATGCCAAAAATGTGTTTTGGTCAGATCCTCTCCGGGCCACTGATCGTTGATTTGATATGTTCAACCCCCCGTTTCCCCTGAATTTTCGGTTACATGAGATACATGGGATGTGGTTGAACTTCAGATTTCCTTAATGGTATAGTAGCGGGTGATAATATCTAATATAAAAAAACCAGTTTTGATATCTAACCGCAACAACTATAAATCAGTCTTTAGATATCATCTGGTACAATTATACTCTAACAAAAAGTTATCGTTATCACCATAAACAGTGTTTCCCATAGGATCCATGCATGGCATATATGTTAACATTTGGGGTATATTGATGGTAAATGTTACCATATATAGCATACATGGATCCTATGGGTTTATTAGCTAATCACCCTATGACACGATATCCAACGTTAGCACTTCCACCGTCGGAACGTCGGAATGGGCCAGGGCCAAGGCCGGAAAGGCCGAGGCAAAGGCCAACGCGCGAAGTCTCAGATCAGCCCAGTTCTGCGGTGTTTGATGTTTGGAGAAGGGGAGTTGTAACGAAAATGGCGACATAACCGGACATAACTAACGGGAAAAAAGGGATTTGACCCAGGAGAATTGATGATTGAATGTGATTTAGCTGGTTTGTAAATTGGGATTGAAGCAAGCAGTATGGCGATTAAAGCCAAATGGGGATTTTACTTTTGAAGAATTGAGATTCAACAAAGGTATGTCAGAAACGCGGCTTTTCTTAGTTGATGATTCGTTCCGGACAATGTTTTTGCGACTGGATCACCACTTTCTCCTTTCAAATGCATATTTTTCGTTTGATTCATTAACCATAGGATCCATGGTGCTGCTATATATGGTGTGCCATGGATCCCATCAATATACCCCAGTCATGTTAGCATTAGTTTACCAGCACCATGGATTTTTTATGGGTTATCAAATTTTCGTTTGAATCACGATTTTCCGTGGTGTTTTACCCGCGTTTTCCTGGCGTTTTCCCCACATTTTCCCTTGGTAAATCCTCCATCGTCCCATCATCTCGGTGGTAAGGCAAAGGCACCCCTCAGAATCTCTCCAGCGACCTGGTGGGCGATGGCGCCGGTGGCCGCTGGGGGGCCTAGCGCTGGCGCGGTTTTCAATGGTTTTCACAGTGAGCTCGGCAGGATGAGACTATGGATGATCTTATGGTTATAATGTATGATTACTATGTAATGGCTATAATAGTTATAATGGATCATGATCTATAGTTGTACAACACTATAGTTATAATTGTTTTAACACTATAGTTAAATTGGATGAGTTTATGGAATACAAATAATGGTTTTAATATGTATGTATGAGTTTTTTCGAATATGTATGGAATAAAAACAATGGTTATAATGTATGATTACTATTTGGTTATTATCGGATTATATTATAACCATATAATATAACCATATAACCATAATAACCATATATTATATATTTATACAAGTAATGGTTTTTTATAATGTGTGATTATATATGATTGGTGGTTTGGAACATTCTTCCATACATTGGGAATAATGAACCTAACTGACTAATATTTTTCAGAGGGGTTGAAACCCCCAACCAGATTTGTATGTATGATATTGTATACCAAAAATAGACTTGTTTTTTGGTTACAATGGATGATTTATGTATAGTTGTACAACTATAGTTATATTGGATGATTGTCTTTTTATATGTGCCATTGGAGAAATGGATCATGAAATCCAAGGGATAATGATTCTAATGGATATTGGTGATAATGGTCAACCTGATAGTAATGATGATAATGTTCTTAGTGGGCCCATGATAATGATGGCTATCTGTATTATAAGATACCTATATACCTGTTTTATACCAAAAGTGTGATCAGTTATAATGTTTAAGTGGGCTACAATGGATGATTACATAGTTATTGATCACACTTATGGGATTTAATGGATTATCAGGTTGTGATGATTATATAATTCGGAGAAACCACACTAAATTATACTCAATGGATTGTAATGGACAAAAATTAATGGCTTATAGTGGGCTGCAAGTAAAAGGATGGAAATGTGACACAATCCACAGATTATCATTATCATGGTACTACAGTAGATCCTGTTTTGGTGATTTAAACAGTACAGTAGATTGTTTGTGGTGTAACAGTAATCTGTATATAGATTATCGTGGGGTTGTAGTAGAATACCTTTAGAGGGTAAGTGGTAGATTAGCATGGGTAATGGATTACATCTAACGGGTTATACCCGATGGATTGTACTTGTATGATGGATCGATAATCATTATAGTAGATAAAAAAATGGGTATTAAAAAATGGGTATGGCCAACTATATTTTTAATGTTCTGGGGATGATGATTATGATTGCAATGATTTTGATGGTTGTAAGGGTTGCGATAATTCTAGTTGATTAGAATCATGAAACCAAAAAAGATGAATGATTATTACTGGGGACAATATTAATGGATCGCAATGGGTCATAATTGCTTATAATTTGTTATAATGGGTTATAATGGGTATTCATGGATTGTACTTAAGGATTATTGTTCAGGTAATTAATGGTGCTTATTGCTGGTGGTATCTACCATACCGGGATTTTGGCAGTTCTATTTGGGCCAATGACCACCTGCAATGGGTTATGCTGGAAGGAAGCTGTTCGATATGATTGATGCGGATGGAAGTTTCTTGATCGGCGGCAAAAAGAATTACAATTATCTACAATTACAATGGTTAAATTATAAAACCTCACTGTTCTCCCTCGCTTGAATCGTGGTCTATGTTCGGGAAATCATCCCCTTTTATGGCCGCAAGATTCAGGTTAGGGCATCCCAGATGCTGTTAAGCCACAGCTGAGTTGTATCCCATAACTGGGATACTGGATCAGTGGTTATTATGGTTATTAACCTCTGGTTGTTCACTAGGTTTATGATGGTGTAAGGTGTTGCAGTTTGGTGGAGAACCAATCTTGGGGGACACGCATTGATTGTATGTGAACCCTAGGCGAACAGAACACCATGTCTTTGGTGCCTGGATGCATCGGGGAAAAATTGAAGAGTTGCTTTTAAAGAAGTTGGATTGAAAGAAAGTGAACATGGATGTTTATATGATGGTAAATATATGAGATAAAGCCACCGTTTGCAGTGTATGGAGATGTGTGATCAATATGGATGTTTTGTTTTTTAATGATACAAAGTTATGAGGACTGACCCGCGATGTATGAGTGATCCAATGGATGTAGCTGATACGGTTGAACTGCAAATGGTGGGTTTACCTCAAATACGACCTTCAATAGGGCACCTTATTTTCATGGAGTAATCTATAGATCCAATTTAAAACCAGGGCTTCACTAGTGGGTACAGGATTTTATCTTAGGGGGAAGGGGTTGGCTGCCTCCAGAATTTGGGATACTCATGAAATTGTTATGTTTCATGGGCAAAGGAGCCAGAACCCTATCTGGATGCATGTGGAAAATGAGGCCACAAACGATCTGTGATATTTTGTGTTTCACAACACGTGGCCTTGAATCAGCTTTAGTCTTGTTTTGTCGGTAGAATATGTTGTGAAGGTGTGGACAGTGGACGAGGCTAACAATGATATTTAATGGACCATGTAGATATGATGCGATTGGCAATATATTACCCTGTAGACCAATCATATCCATGACGGATGTTCGCCCATCCAACAAGATGGTATAAACAGCCACCGTGTGGCGCAAGTCTCCAGGTTTTGGTTGGCAATTTCCAAGGTTTTGATGGTAAAATTCCCTCATCTTTTAGCGGTTGTAAAACCACCAGTCATCCAGAAACTGTTCACTATGGATTTCAATCACCACAAATGGGGTTTCACTATGTTTTTGGTGATGTATGGTGAAACCCCTTTTTGTGGTGATTGAAACCTTCCAGACATTCCAAGGCGCTGGTTTTCAAGAAGGAATTTGCAAATGGCCGACACCTCAGTGGGTCTCAGTGGGGACATCATGAGGATGTGACTGAATAGAATGGCACAGCAATGGAATATGGAGGTTTTCCAGTTTAAGATTAGGGGTACCTCCAATCCATCCTTGATGAGGAGTTCACTTGCCATGCTGGGAGAGATATATATATATATCCCGCTTTAAAAGCGTTGCAGGAGTCTCAGTAGTGGTTCAAATCCCACTCGCTTGCCCTTTTCGCTCGATGTCATGTGGTTTCTAAAGCTCTAAGTACAGCGCAGAGAAGTGCAAGCACAGCGCAGAAGAATTCAGAGTCTGGTCACCACAAGGTTGGGCCCCCCAGTTATAAGTTGGTTTATAACCCCCCTTAACTATAGATATATCAACTATAGATATATCACCTATAAACCATAGTGAAATTGGAGTTATAAACCAACTGAACGCTATCTTGGGGGCCTCACATTGCAAGTCAATGCATTTGTCGGCATACTGAACTTGGCCGACTTGACATGGATCTCCAACGTTGCAGGAACCCACATTTTGACCTTACAATCCCATACCATATGGGCCCACTTTTCAGTTGGTTTATAACTTGTAACCCCATCTAACTCACTGGAATACTAACTATATAACTCTCAACCCCATCTAACTATAGAAATCTATAGAATACTACAGAGATATATATATATCATGAGATATCCCCTGTAACCCCAACCACCGGAGCTCCACCCCAGGTACGCTGCAGGCTTCTGCAAGTTCCATTCCGAGACGGGCTGCAAAAACGGGCTGCACGACGCCGAAGCGGCCTTGAAGGCGGAGGTGCGCCGTGCCGGTGCCGTGCCGGTGCCGCGCCAAGGAAATGGGGGATTCACCATGAACACCTGGGGAAAATTATGGGAAATTGATGGTTTTACGAAGTTTGAAACAGTTGGTAATATGGGAAATATTTATGGTTTTTATGGAACCATATCGAAAATATGGAAAATGATTGAAAATGAAAGTGTGAACCATCAAAACATGTGGGTTTTCAATATGGTTTACTTATGAATAATGTTGGTTTCACTATCGAAAATTGGAGGTTTGATATTGGTTTCACCGTCCTGAATGGGAAGATAGATATACGATACAACCAATAACATAACATTAAATACCCCTCCAGTAACTTTGGTTTCAGTATTGGATCTATTCATATGGATATAGGGGTTTTGGCATTGAACATGACAGGTGAAGGGAGCGAAATGGTGACGAATTGACTTCCAACACCTGGATGGTTTAGAACCATGAGCTGGATATGGATTCAAGGGGTGATTTCACCAGCGAAACTGGTGGTTTTACTATCAGAAATCAGGATTTAACTATCAAAAACTTTGGGGTTCCAGTATGCAAAACATACAATGATTGTGATTTGCCTGATCAACAATAGTTAAGCTGGCTCTGTCCATATCTGTCTACACATGATAGGATTTATCCCAAGTACATGGTCATTTTGAGCCGGGGAAGATGTTAAACCGTGAGTGCGCTTGAAATGGGAGTGTTCCTACAAACAAAGACCCAAAAAACATCACAATAATAACTTTCAACAAAACGATTTTCCGAGATTTGGGGGCTTCAAAAGAAACCTAGCTATATGTGTTCTGGATCTGGATTTTAGCCGTTAAAATCAAAGATTGTGGAGATAGTGGCTCCAAGAATGACGACATGAAAATATCTCCGACTTCGTTTTCGGGTTAACCAACAGAGATGCCGGCTACCAGTAGAAACCAAAGCTAGGGATGGAATCTCAAAGCGGGATGGGTTATGTAACAGCAGGGCACTGATATATCTTGGTCAGCAACAACACCAATACAAAAGAGGTCATACTAACAACCAATGGTGGAGATCGCTGGTTTAATAGCCACATGGATTCGCCTAAAAATAGTGTAAACCAAGATATAACGATTTAAAGCTTCATTTTCCCCATTGAATTTTAGTTGTTTTAGGATATCCTGAACCCCCTCCTTTTTAGACAAACTCAGTCCCCGCCGCCTGGTCGGTGACCGGTCTCCCATCCTGTGATGATGAACTCACCTGTGTCAAATCCACCGTCGAGGGGTTATCCTACTCGGGGGTGGGTCATTGACGTTACTTTTATGGGCGTAAGCGGCATAACCATGTATCATCGGTTTTTTCCCTCTGGTAAATTACCAGTAACCATGACCATCAAGCTCATAAAATTGTAAGATCTCAAAAGTTGGGATACAACCCCGAAAAATCTACAGTGAAATCTATGGAGAGATGGTGCTCAAGTTGGAGAGTTGTTCACCGCATGACCTCAATGGTGTAGTCCACAAGTCCGGGGGGCCGTGGACCATCGCCTGGCAAAGGAGTGTGTTTGTGGCAAATGGTATACCTTCTGGTAATCGGGAGTTGACCTTGAGCCAGAGCTAGCTAAGTTGGTTTATCTGTATCTTTATTTCAAGAAAACATCAATAAATTAAACCAACGAACATGAGATATTTATATATATATACATTCAAACAAACCAACAAACTATTCAAAATACTATCCATGGTCAAGTTGTTTATTCTGGAGATGGATGAGCACAAACCAACAAACATAATATCGAAAGCCTTGTAACTTGCCCATGGTCCGATGGTCCGCAGGCAGATTGGGTGGCCCAGGGGCCAGCCAGTTGCAACCCCGACGAGGTGAAACGGCCTGGAGTCTGAGGCAGAACTATCAGCCACAAGATATTGCCTCCACAGTGATCTTTACTGGTTTATAAACCATTGTAACATCACTATACCATCACAGGATACCATGGTAACATAAATAGATTCTATTCTATCCTATCCTATCGGGCACCGGGCACCGGATCCTGACATCCAGCACTGCAGCTCATGGTGCTTGGAGCATCCCATGATCCAAGTGGTTAACCTGGTTAAATCCAGCCTGGTCATCTGAAAAGTCTCCGAGTTTCTGGATTATCTATGATTATCTATGATATTCTATGATTATCTCCTTTTTTCAATGGAAAAAACCACTTAGATCTATGGTTGCGAAAGAGACTTGGTACAGGTTTTTTTGTCCACCTGTAAAGTGGAATGATCCTCCAAGTGGGGCCCCTCAGTTATGTAAATTGGCTTATGTTCATTCAACTATAGATGTAGTTATCCGCAACTTACGGCTAAATTTGAATCCCAAAGTTCCATGTTCAATGGGAACATTGATGGGTTACTTTCGAAAGGTGGAAGAAACTTGGTGAATGCTGATGGATGAAACGCAACAAAGAGACAGAAACCCATCAGATCATGAGACATAGACTGATCAAATTCGCCATACGAACAACAAAGGCAGGATATGCGTTGGCACAGAGAGATTGAACAGCAAGAATCAACGTTCGCTTGTAGCCATGTTCGGATGGCGAGAATTTTTGACCACTGCCCTCGGGTTGTTTTTGGTGCGAGGAATGTTCACTTTACAAATGGGGAAGTCAAGGCCAAAACATGCTCTCTATTCCCATTGGGTTCAAACTGCTCTTGGCTATGAAGGTCAAGAAACTTTCACAACATCCTACATGGAAGAGATGCGATTCCTGCGCCGCCATTTGAGATAATTCGTTCAGCCAATAGAACTGAGGATCCTAAGTTCTCATCAACGTACAAAATCCTAATATGTAAGGGAATACCCCCACAAAATATGGCCTTATATGGTACTAATGTACCTCTATTTTAGGATCCTGAAATTCCAATTGATGAAATGGATGGAAACAAACAACCGAGGCCCATCCTACTACTGCTCGATTTGGAAGGCGGTGGTAATAAGGCGTGGCGTGCGTCAGCATGGCACGGGCGCTTCTTGTGTTTAACGTCATGATGTCATTGACATGATGGGAATTGTACGGAAAATTATTCCCAAATGGCTGTATGATAACATCTCTTTTCAGGACCTGACAACCTGATTTCTATGTCATTTTGTTGCTGGATGTACCCATGTGTTTCCATTATATCATTTGTTTTTGCTTGTTAAAACCACCCTGTTCCCGCTAGTGGTTGAGTCCTTCATTTCTATGATTTTCTGATTGGCCTTGGAGGGCTGCAGCCACAAAATTGGCGTGATTGAAACTGTTTGACACTTACCCTCTGGTGATTTAACATAGCTATTGAAAATGGACCATAGAAATAGTGGATTTACCCACTGAAAATGGTGATTTTCCATAGTTCTGTTAGTTTACCTGAGGGTAGTATCTAAGATTGGGCATGATATTCCACATCATGTTTCATCGCATTAACATCACATCAATAAGGTGCATAATATAGGGATACTATATATGTTATATAATCCATATAGATATTCAACATCCATGGATACATCCATGTCATGTTCAAGCAAACATCGTTAGGTACTGGGTTCTATTAAGCAGCATGAACATACAATCATACAGGATGGGGCCCCCCAGTTCTAAGTTGGTTTATAACCCCATCTAAATATAATTCTGGGTAAATTATAACGACCTCACTGCGACCTCACTGGAATACTGGTTAGTAAGGGGAAGTATCCCAATATGGTTTTATTTCAGGTTAGTGAATTATTGTAATTTACCCAGATAGCTATATTTTTTGTTGTATAAGCGTATCATACACCAACTTGTTATGAAATAGTTATGTTCACCAACTTAGCTAACGAACTGGGGCCCCATCCTGTAGCTATGTTTTAAGGCTATACCTTATCTCTGGCGTGTTTTGTGCTGCTTAGATGCTTAGATCCTCCCCGTTTTCGCGTTTTCGCGGCGCCGGCGAGCAAACAACCTTCGGAGGACGGCAGAGATGGCGAAGACGAGATCATTGAGGCAGCCGGTGGAAACATCAAGGTACTCTGAATGGTAATCATAAATAAACGATGAACCCCCATGAAATCTCCATAAATCTCCCATTCAACCTCCATGAAATCCCAACAAACCCCATTAAATATCCTGATTGGTGGTTTCAAACATGTTTTGTTTTCTGTAATAAAAAAGGGATCATCTTTCCCATTGACTTTCATATTTTTCAAGATGGTTATTGCACCACCAACCAGTTATAAGATGTCTTAAGGGGATAAACTTGAAAATCATGGGATTATAAGGGGATAAACATGGGGAAACCATCTGCCAGCTGGTGGAGTATTTCGCAACCAGAGTATGGGTTACTGCTTGTTTTAAGGGAGGTTCATTGGCTTTAGTGCCTTTTAGTGGAGATGTTAATGCATTTTAAGGGGGGTTCAACGGGTTTTGAGCTCGACGAGTTGCAGCCATGATTTTAGATGCTCAATGTTTTTAAAGTCAGATGGACATGGTGACATGCTTACGAACCAGCTGTTACTTGCGTACTTTCCACCATATTCCTTGTCAACCAGTGTTTCAACCCGGTCAACATTAATGTCAGCCATTCAGAATCACCAGCCCTTTCTCCCCCATTTCTTGGCTTCAGCAATGCGGGTTAGTCCACAGTTGCGGTATACTGCAACATTGCGCGTTTTCATCGGGGAACATTGGATGGTTGGCCATGCGAGTTTGGTTTTTTCCCTACAATGTGGTGCCCCCTAGATAGCTAAGTTGCCTTAGAAGTGTTTTAACTATGGTTTATAGTAGATATAACTACAGTTAATGGGGTTTATAAACCAACGAACATCACTGGGGGGCACCACTTTGTAAAATGTCAGACAAACCCGTATCTCCAAAGTTTCTTGGCTTTTTCAGTTGTGGCAATGCGGCGGTCACAGCAAAGAATTGCAAATTCGCTGAGAACAAAAAACTCTCATATAGGACACCAAAGTGAATAGATCACTTAGATCCACCACTTTCCAATAGGTTTCCAATAGAGTGAATAGATCCACCACTTTCCATTTTCTAATAAGTTTTTAGGGGAGGCTCAATGGAAGGAAGCCTCAATGTCCTTCCAGCTGTTTTTGACCACCTGATTCTTCAGGTGCCCGTGTTGTCGGTTTGCCCTTCCACCGGGATGCTTGGAAGCTGCTTTGGAGGGTGCAGTTGTGGTGATTTTAAGGGCTAACAGCTAACACTCTCGGGTTATAGACATAGTCATAGTCACTATGCTTGTACAATGTTTATTAACTACAACATTATTGGGTTATAGACATTGTCACTACCAGGCCATTTCAGGAACCTAAATTGGAGGTACTTACCATATATAAGCCCTTATGTAAGGCCTATGTAAGGGAATATCCCCACAAAATATGGCCTTATATGGTACAGTACCTCCATTTTAGGGTCCTGAAATACCCATTGACAACTGGGATTGCTTTTTGCGGGTTTCTGGTCATTGATGGGTACCATGGTGAATCCCATGACTTGGGACCATATTAGGCAGCAGCTGGTTTCAAGCAACACGCAAAAAATCGGTATTGACCGCATCTCAAGCACCAAAAAAGAACATCAGATCCCCACAATGGATGGTTTTTTTCGTGGATAATCCTAAAAAATTGGATAATTAAAATGGATACTGTACGCCCATTTTAGGAACCCCCCAAAATATTTCTTAAGTCGAATCATGGTTGGCGGTTTGGAATATGTCGCGCCTTCCCAGAATTTCGGCGGATGACCCCAATCGACGGTGATTGTTCTTGTGTGGTTTTGATGTCAGAAAACTAGATGGTTCCGCCAGGAGACAGATCTGACCGGTCGTTGGTTTTCTCGCTGGCGACTTTCACTAGATTAAAAGTGGTTTATTGTGGTGTCATAAAACAACTTTTAATTGAAGTGAATCTCGTGAAATATCCTCTTAAATCATGGATTTCCATAAAAACTGAATGAAAACTTGATGAATCCCAGTGCGTCTGCAGACACAAATCCCCACGACACCCCATTAAGTCTCCATCACTTCCCTTTAAAATCCCTTAAACACCAGTACATCACCATCAAAACAAATATCATCAAATATCCATGCCAAGAAAATACCATGAAAAAATGTCTTCTAATCACCATGAAAAATCCCCAAGCGAAAATCCCTTCTCGAATCTCCACAAATCAGCGCCTCCAATGGTTGATGGAGATTTCATAAACCATCATAAAACCATGGTGAAAGCCCGTCAAAAACATTGGAAAACCATCATAAAACCATGGTTTTCTAATCATGATTAAATCCCTTTCAAATCCCATCGACTCTCCATAAAATCACCATTGAATCATCATTAAATCACCATCAATTCACCATTAAATCCCAGTGAATCACATTAAATCACCATTTTCGCCATTGAATCGCCAAACTCCGCTGCTGTTCTTTCCGAGGAAAGAGCTGGGACGTTTCCATCGCTTCGTGCGTCCGGGGCATTGGACTCGCGAGGCCCTCACGACAAGTTGGAAGTTGGCCTCCAACAAAAACATGGGAAAACTATGGAGAAATCATGGTTTTATGATGGTTTTCCAATTTTTTTGATGGGAAAACTATGGTTTTATGATGTTTTCCAATGTTTTTGATGGGAAAACTATGGTTTTATGATGGTTTTCCAATTTTTTTGATGGGAAAACTATGGTTTTATGATGTTTTCCAATGTTTTTGATGGGAAAACTATGGTTTTATGATGTTTTCCAATTTTTTTGATGGGAAAACTATGGTTTTATGATGTTTTCCAATGTTTTTGATGGGAAAACTATGGTTTTATGATGTTTTCCAATTTTTTTGATGGGAAAACTATGGTTTTATGATGTTTTCCAATGTTTTTGATGGGAAAACTATGGTTTTATGATGTTTTCCAATGTTTTTGATGGGAAAACTATGGTTTTATGATGCTTTCCCATGTTTTTGACGGGAAAACTATGGTTTTATGATGTTTTCCAATGCTTTTGATTGGAAAACTATGGTTTTATGATGTTTTCCAATGTGTTTGATGGGAAAACTATGGTTTTATGATGTTTCCCAATGTTTTTGATTGGAAAACTATAGTTTTATGATGTTTTCCAATGTTTTTGATGGGAAAACTATGGTTTTATGATGTTTTCCCAATGTTTTTGATTGGAAAACTATAGTTTTATGATGTTTTCCAATGTTTTTGATGGGAAAACTATGGTTTTATGATGTTTTCCCAATGTTTTTTTGATGGGAAAACTATGGTTTTATGATATTTTTCAATGTTTTTGATTGGAAAACCATGGTTTTATGATGTTTTCCAATGTTTTTGATGGGAAAACTATGGTTTTATGATGGTTTTATGATGGTTTTTTTGTTGGTGACTGAATGGGACTGTGTGATGATGTTGCCAACTTTTTGGAGCATGGGAAAATGTGGTCTTGTTTGGAATTTTAGGGACAAACCTATTCCATCCAACAGTGAATCTCATAATTGTCCTTCTTGATGGCCAGAAATGGGGGTATACCCTGGTTGATAGGGAAAACCATGGTTCATAGTGTTGATAGGACTTAATGGCGTTTGGAGTTTGAACGGGATTTAGTGGGATTCTTTGGAGGGCCTTTGAGATCAGGAAAATTATGATGGGCTAAATAGTGCTTTAATGGCATGCAATGATATTTAAATGTGTTTAATTGTGATAGATATTGATTTGATGTGGTAATTTGGTAAAATCATTGGTCTCAAAACGCGATTGCTGAATGGAAATACACTTGAATTTGTTGGTGTCTAGTGGGATTTTTTGTGGTTTTACAGGACTTTTCTATTGGGTTTACTTGGGTTTAAGATGTGTTTTACGGAGATATAATGAGATATAATGGGATAATGGTTGGGCATAATTGGAGAATTGTGTAATATAGTGGGTTCATAGTCGGATATAGGAGAAAATAATAACTGTAGAGTTCTTTGAATAAGATTATATATCCTCTATAGGAATCTCACCATCAGTGGTTTTATGGGATGTTTATGCTGCTTGGTAGGAATTGACAATGGGGGTTTCAATTCAGGTAGCTTCAAATTGGGATGGATCAAAGCCTATTGTATTATATTTGGTGGTTAACTTCCAAGAAATTGACAAGACACTTTGGAAAACCATGGGTTTCAATGAGAGTATACAGAAATCTACATTCATGACTGGACTTCCCTTTATCAATCTAATGGAGCGTCCCACTTCCCGCCCACAGTGAAGATAGTGATGAACCTTGAAATTTGGGCTTCAAAATTGGGGATGATCAAAGGAAGTTTAGTGGGAGAAACTTCCGTGTTACGGACTTTTAGAATGTCAGGGAAAGAGTTAGTCAAAGAAAGAGTTAGTCAAAGAAACAGTTAGTCAAACAGAGAGTTAGTCAAAGAAAGAGTTAGTCAAAGAAAGAGTTAGTCAAAGAAACAGTTAGTCAAACAGAGAGTTAGTCAAAGAAAGAGTTAGTCAAAGAGTTAGTCAAAGAAAGAGTTAGTCAAAGAAAGAGTTAGTCAAAGAAAGAGTTAGTCAAAGAAACAGTAGTCAAAGAAAGAGTTAGTCAAGAAAGAAACAGTTAGTCAAAGAAAGAGTTAGTCAAAGAAACAGTTAGTCAAGAAAGAGTTAGCAAAGAAAGAGTTAGTCAAAGAAAGAGTTAGTCAAGAAAGAGTTAGTCAGGGAAAGAGTTAGTCAAAGAAAGAGTTAGTCAAAGAAAGAGTTAGTCAAAGAAAGAGTTAGTCAAAGAAAGAGTTAGCCAAAGAAAGAGTTAGTCAAAGAAACAGTTAGTCAAAGAAAGAGTTAGTCAAAGAAACAGTTAGTCAAAGAAACAGTTAGTCAAAGAAAGAGTTAGTCAAAGAAAGAGTTCGTCAAAGAAACAGTTAGTCAAAGAAACAGGTAGTCAAAGAAACAGTTAGTCAAAGAAAGAGTTCGTCGAAGAAAGAGTTCGTCGAAGAAACAGGTAGTCAAAGAAACAGTTAGTCAAAGAAAGAGTTCGTCAAAGAAAGAGTTAGTCAAAGAAACAGTTAGTCAAACAGTTAGTCAAAGAAAGAGTTCGTCGAAGAAAGAGTTCGTCGAAGAAACAGTTAGTCAAAGAAAGAGTTCGTCGAAGAAAGAGTTCGTCGAAGAAACAGGTAGTCAAAGAAACAGTTAGTCAAAGAAACAGTTAGTCAAAGAAAGAGTTAGTCAAAGAAACAGTTTGTCAGGGAAAGAGTTAGTCAAAGAAAGAGTTAGTCAAAGAAACAGTTAGTCAGGGAAAGAGTTTGTCAAAGACAGAGTTAGTCAGGATATATGAGGTAGTCAAAGAAAGAGTTAGCAAAGAAAGAGTTCGTCAGGGAAAGGGTTAGTTAAAGCAAGAGTTAGTTAGGGCATTGATTGTTCCCGCAATGCAAATGGGATTGCAAGTGGTGCTGCCGGATGAGTTGCCGATGGAGTTTTGAAGGAACTCTCGCACGAAATGCGTTTTTGAGAGATAGCAGATGCAGGAAACCCTATGTTTTTCTATACAAAGTCTGTCCCCGAACCTCGATGATCTACCTCTGCGGTGCGACGGGTGCGAGACGGTCTCGTGTGTGGTCGGATCATCCTCGGATTGGTCTCGGATCATGGTCGGATCGGTCTCGGATCGGTTCCGCATTGTAAATGGGGTTTCAACTGTGTTTCGTCTATGTGCGGTCGACAGAATTCCATTGTGAATTGCAACTGTAGGATCGTTCCCGCAATGTAAATGTGATTGCAAGTGGCGCTGGTGGATGAGTTGCCAATGGAATTCCATTGTGATTTGCAACTGTAGTATCCTTCCCGCAATGTAAATGGGATTGCAAGGTTGCTTCCTGCTTTGGCTGCATACGTAATACTATTGTCTTTTGCAGCTGGATCTCGTAAATCGTATTGGAGTGGCTGCATGAAGGCTGCGACAGTGATTTGTCAGCAGATTTTCTTCATTTTGGCGCTAGTGATTTTCCTTCTAAAAATCTTTTTAAAAAGTGCTTCAAAATCTTTTTTTTTCGCTCTGGCGTCGAGATCCGGTTTTGGAGCTACAATTTCCGCACTCCAATGCGCGTAGTTCTATTGTCTTTTGCAACTCAGTCTCTGCAGATTGCATTGTAAGGGCTGCGTCAAGGTTGCTTCGTGCTGTGGTTGCATTCGTAGTCTCGCACGAAATGCGTTTTTGAGAGATAGCAGATGCACGAAACCCTATGTTTTTCCATACAAAGTCTGTCCCCGAACCTCGATGATCTACCTCTGCGGTGCGACGGGTGCGAGACGGTCTCGTGTGTGGTCGGATCATGCTCGGATCATGTTCGGATCATGCTCGGATCGGTTCCGGATCGGTCTCGGATCGGTTCCGCATTGTAAATGGGGTTTCAACTGTGTTTCGTCTATGTGCGGTCGACAGAATTCCATTGTGAATTGCAACTGTAGGATCGCTCCCGCAATGTAAATGGGATTGCAAGTGGCGCTGGTGGATGAGTTGCCAATGGAATTCCATTGTGATTTGCAACTGTAGTATCCTTCCCGCAATGTAAATGGGATTGCAAGGTTGCTTCCTGCTTTGGCTGCATACGTAATACTATTGTCTTTTGCAGCTGGATCTCGTAAATCGTATTGGAGTGGCTGCATGAAGGCTGCGACAGTGATTTGTCAGCAGATTTTCTTCATTTTGGCGCTAGTGATTTTCCTTCTAAAAATCTTTTTAAAAAGTGCTTCAAAATCGTTTTTTTTTCGCTCTGGCGTCGAGATATCCGGTTTTGGAGCTACAATTTCCGACGCCGTTGCGCGTAGTTCTATTGTCTTTTGCGACTCAGTCTCTGCAGATTGCATTGTAATGGCTGCGTCAAGGTTGCTTCGTGCTGTGGTTGCATTCGTAATACTATTGCCTTTTGCAGCTGGATCTCGTAAATCGTATTGGAGTGGCTGCATGAAGGCTGCGACAGTGATTTGTCAGGAGATTTTCTCCATTTTGGCGCTAGTGATTTTCCTTCTAAAAATCCTTTTAAAAAGTGTATCAAAATCGTCTTTTTTTCGCTCTGGCGTCGAGGTCCGGTTTTGGAGCTACAATTTCCGACGCCGTTGCGCGTAGTTCTATTGTGCTTTGCAACTCAGTCTCCGCAGATCGCATTGTAATGGCTGCGTCAAGGTTGCTTCGTGCTGTGGCTGCATGCGCAATACTATTGTCTTTTGCAGCTTAAATCGCATTGGAGTGGGTGCATCAAGGGTGCGACAGTGATTAGTAGTAGTGCTGGGAATTATAATGAAAGCTTAATAGATGACATATGAGAAGGGACTAGATGAGAAGAGATGAGCTGGGATAAGGTGAGAAGAGCTCAGATGAGATGAAATGTGGAGTGTGAAGAGTGCAGTGTGAAGTGTGGAGCGTGAAGAGTGCAGTGTGAAGTGTGAAGTTTGGAGTGTGAAGGAAGCAGTGAGAAGTGAGAAGTGTGAAATGTGAAGTGTGAAGTGTGGAGTGTGAAGTTTGGAGTGCAAAGAGTGCAAAGAGTGCAGTGTGAAGTGTGGAGTGTGAAGTGTGAAGTGTGAATACGACTGGCTGGTGTGGAAGGATAGAGCTGCAAGCTTTCTGCGGGCTCACCCTCGGGAAGTTGCGCTGCAACTCACTTGGGGTCAGCGACTGGTGGTTCCGGGAGCTCGTGAGGCATACGCAGTCGCAACCTATGAACGAGAGGCAATGGGTCGTAGCCTCGGCGCGGCGCCATGCAACTTGTGTGGATGCTGGACACATAGCTGGTGTGAAGCTTGCAAAACACGTCCGCCCACTGCAATTTGTTCGACTTGCGACGCGGCCAAACTCTTGTGTCAGTCTTGCACGTCGTGTCACCAGCTGGTTTACTCCGAGGCTTCACAGAAACCCAACTAGCAACTTCCTGGCCTCCCGGAACTGGACGTGCGAAGTTGTGTTCCGCGTCCAGCATGGTCGAGGCGGCGCTGGAGAGTCACACCAGCACGGCGGCAAGTGTGCAGCCACCTGTGGTGAATGACTAGAGCGCCAAAAGTTCAGATTGGGGCCATTGGAGAAAGCCGAAGTCTCTGGTACGCTTTGCGTTGCCACAAAACCAGCCTCAGTGCGCAGAATGGCTAAACATCTTGCACAGCAACAGTACGTGGTCTTGCCGCAGAGGGATCAACTCTCGCTTGACTGCCGAGGGCTGGGTGTGCGTTGTTATGAACCGCATCCGAGTTTGAATTGCTGTCCTTCAGTAGCTTCGCCTTTCATTTAGCCTTGCGAACCGCAGAATGCCTCTGTCACTTGCTTTTGGTTTATGTGTACGTAGTTACGAACCGCACAAACAACCATGATCGTATTGCATACATGTGAAAAAACAAAGCTGTCGTGGGAGCGAGCCAATGCAAGGTCTCACTGAGATCTTTCAATGCCTTGCGCAGCATGGGTTGGAGTTTTGTGGTTTGTTGAATGTATGACATTCTGGACCATTTTTTTTCAGACATGAGACCCAAAGCTCTATGAGTTTCTCCATTTTGGCGCTAGTTTTTTTTGTTGCACGTAAGTTTAGAGCAGTTGGACGTGTGGGGCGTGAAGTGTCGAGTGTGAAGTTTAAGTGTGGAGTGCGAAGAGCGCAGTGTGAAGTGTGAAGTGTGAGGTTTGGAGTGTGAAGGAAGCAGTGAGAAGTGTGAAGTGTGAAGTGTGAGTGAAGTGTGGAGTGTGAAGTGCGAAGTGAGAAGTGTGAAGTTTGGAGTGTGAAGTTTGGAGTGGGAAGGAAGCAGTGAGAAGTGAGAAGTGTGAAGTGTGGACCTGTGAAGTGTGGAGTGTGAAGTGTGGAGTGTGAAGTGCGAAGTGAGAAGTGTGAAGTTAGGAGTGTGAAGGAAGCAGTGAGAAGTGAGAAGTGTGGAGTGTGAAGTGCGAAGTGAGAAGTGTGAAGTGTGAAGTGTAAAGTTTGGAGTGTGAAGGAAGCAGTGAGAAGTGAGAAGTGTGAAATGTGGAGTGTGAAGTGTGAAGTGTGAAGTGCGAAGTGAGAAGTGTGGAGTGTGAAGTGTGGACTGCGAAGTGTGAAGTGTTAAGTGTGGACTGTGAAGTGTGAAGTCTGAAGTGTGGACTGTGAAGTGTGAAGTGTGAAGTGTGGACTGTGAAGTGTGAAGTGTGCAGTGTGAAGTGTGAAGTGTGAAATGTGAGGTTTGGAGTGTGAAGAAGCAGTGAGAAGTGAGAAGTGTGGAGTGTGAAGTTTGAAGTTTGGAGTGCGAAGAGTGCAGTGTGCAGTGTGAGGTGTGGAGTGTCGAGGGAAGGACACGGTCGGGACAGGGTGTCTTTGAACTATAGGTCATTTATGTTTGGGAAACTTCCGCCGCCGGCTTGCCCGGGTCTATGTTATCATATTATATTATATATATATATATGTCGTAGTTTGAAGTACTGTGTTCTCAAATGGGTAGCAATGGGGGATATGTATCAAAGTGGTGGATACTGGATACCCATTCCCATCAAATGGCACTTTTGGCAATGGAGTAGTCATGATCGACCACGAGTTGTTTGTGTTTTCTGTATTTTCGGGGAAAACACAAAACATGCACAACAGGGTATCCCATAGGTAAGTGGCTTAGAACCGTGAAGCATTGACCAATGACCCAGCGATTTAGGTATGGGTCGCTTCGCCCTGATATCTCCTGGTGTCCACCAATTCAGATGCTAATATAGGTCCTGACCCATCGCAATATTCAATAAATTACTTAAAATAAGCCTCGGTGGTATCCCCAACAGCCGCACCGTTTTTTTTACAAAATTTTCTCTGCAACCTTCTACGGAACCCGTTGAACTTGACCTCGCCCTGCACCAAAGGTTCCCAAAACCTTCTCCGCAATCTTCTCTGCAACCTTCTCCGGAAATCTGTTGAACCTGACTTGGCTTTGCACCAAGGCTTCCTGGAACCTTCTCCGGAATCTTCTCCGGAACCCTGTTGAACCTAACCTGGCTCTGCACCAAAGCCTCCCTCCCACCTTCTCCGGAACTTTTTCCGGAACCCTGTTGAACCTGACCTGGATCCGCACCAAGCCTCCCAGACCTTCTCCGGAACCTTCTGAACCTTCTCCGGAACCTTGTTGAACCTGACCCGGCGCCTGCACCAGTGCACGCCGGAGCTATTCTGGGCTGAAGACCCCATTAGCTTACGCTGTTGGGCAAAAATGGAGATACCACGGGAGATTTCATTTTGAATAAGTAGTTTTAAAAAAGTTGTTGATGCGTGAAATCCATGTTGCACTGGGAGATATCGATAAAACAACCTGGTGATCGGTGCATCGGTGCATCCCAGCCCTGCAGGAGGAGACTTTGGTGGATGAAGATCGCTTTGAACGCCTGGAAAAGCTGATCATCAAGAGGAACAAGAGTATGTGCCTGTGACGAGCTGACGATCCAATGGGTGATGTTTGGGATGTTTGGGATCTTTTTACCGAGACGGCCCAACCAAAAGGAGAAACCGAAAGGAGAAGTCTTTTAGGCAAGGTGCTCCAGATGGGGATTCAAGTGTCCCTTCTCTCCATTTTGCTTCCATTTTTTCATTCTCCCCATGACTTCCCGTGACTTCCCGTGACTTCCCATGACTTCCATCTGAACAGGTCCGATCGGAAGATGAGGGTTGGCGGTCCAGCGTCATCTGGACAAAGCGAGGGCAGCGCGAGCTCGGGGGGCGGATCCATGATGGAAAACGACTGAGACACCCCGACGCCTTAGCAGAACTTGGCCCAAAGAATGGCCATCGAAATCATCGAAACTAGTGGTTTTTTTGGGAGGCTGTGGATGATCCGAGATTTCTTTTGATTGAAGGATTTCGTTGGATATCATTTGGCATTGAGATGACGCATGGATTGCCTGCAGCACCCGGGACAGGGTTTCAAGGCCCCAATTGGGTCCCACTTTCGATGAGAGCAGAAGCATCTTTTTCACAGCACGGTGCATATTTTTTCCGAAGGTGTAAGATCTGGGCGTTGGACCCAGATAGATGTTTTTGTACCTTCGAGGTTGCTGAAATGGATTTTCTGCTCCTCGTCATTGCATGCAGCACACGTTTCTTCTACATTCTTCTGGCACTTCGGGTGGCATTCACTTCTTGCAACATTCATTATCAATACCTGCAGGACCGAACGTTCGCCCAAGATGACACGCAAAATGACGATGGAGATCTCCAAAGTGCTGCGCTTGCTACGAAGAATGCAACTCATCTTCTCCAAAACTTGCGAAAGTATTGCGCCTGTCCCACAAAACGATTTTGACACTTTATCAAACACGTGAGAATGTCACGAAGTGCTACGCCTGCCATGCAAAACGGTATTTTGACCTCGATTGAAACCTTTCAAAACCTCTCATAGATTTTGACACTTGCATGGTAGCTCCAAAATCAACGTTTTCCTATGAGTTTTGTATTGAACCCCAAAATTGGCTACCTCAGAATCGATGTTTCGTGCGAGGCTTCCATCAATTTTCATCACATGTCCCAAAAAGCAACGCATGCCACGCGATTTGCTCCTTGTCACACTTGACGCAGCGCTGACAATGCGATTCGCAAAACACACGACACGACACGTCTAAAGTGCCTCGCCTGCCACGCAAAATGTCTCCCAAAGAGCTGTGCCTCCCACGAAACATGCAAGTCATCTTCTGAGAACGATGCAAATGTAGCGCGCCTGTTACACAGAACTACTTGTGACGCGTTATGAAACATGATAAGATGCCACGAGGTGCCATGCCTGCCATACGAAACGACGTTGCGCGACGTTTGAAACCTCCAAACGTGACCACTTTTACAGCACTCGCCAGAGGCACGGCCATAGCAACCTCATCGCGACCGGTTGCGGACGGTTGGGGACGGTTGTGAACGGTTGCGGACGGCTGCGGATGATTGCGGATGTGAAAGCGGCGTCCAGCGAAAGCGTCCCAACCCCCAGACCCCCAAAGTAAAAAAAGAACCGTTCGCTCGGCACTCGGATTTGGGAAAGCAGCATTTTCCGGGTCACTTGATAGTATCCTCAACTGAAGTCAGGAAAGAGAAACAAATCCAGAGTTTGTCCCAAACACTATTGAATCTATTGTTATGCACAGACCCAGACTTTTGCCCGGGGCCCGCACCTGTTGCACAAAATGATTCTCTTTTTCAACGGACCCCGACGAAATCTGCGAAGGGTTGTTGCTGCGAGTTACTGGGAAACCAGAATCGTGACGTTTTAGCGAGTAAATCCGTTATTATGCTCTTCGACATATTGATTGTTTTAGGGGGTGGCAGATTTAGACTCTTTATGTATATTGTTTTGTTTTACAAAGTCTATCCATCCTTAGCCTTATACCTTCTACATATTGTTTTAGGGGGTGGCAGATTTAGACCCTTGACGTATATTGTGTTACAAAGTACGCCCACTATTTTACCACCCTGCATCTTGTTGCAGATTTATACCTTGTACATGAATGTATTCTACATATTGTTTGGGAGGGATGGTAGATTTATACCATGTAGTTATGTTCTTTGTACCATGTGTTGATGAGAGAGATGTGAAAATTGTGGTAAAAGTGATAGATTCTGACTTCAAACTGCACACTCTACACTCTAGACTCTACACTTTACTTACACTTCACACTTTACACTTCACACTTCACACGTGACACTCGATACTTCACACTTTACACTCCACACTGTACACTTTACACTCCGCTTCTACACTTTACACTCATCACTCTACACTCTCCCCCTTACACTTTACACTTTGCACTCTACACTTTACACTTTACACTTCACACTCTACCCTTGACACTCTACACTCCAGGCTCTACACTTTACACTCCACACTCCACGCTGTACACTTTACACTTCACACTTTACACTTGGCACTCCACACTCTACACTTGACACTCTACACTTTACACTCCACACTTTTACCCTCCACACTTTTACACTCGCTACTTCACACTCCACAATCCCCACTGCACACCCTGCGCACTATCTTCCCCGCTCAACACTCCACTGTCTGTTGAAATGATTAATTTG